TTTTTTGACGACGGAGTCTCACTCTGTCGCCCAGGGCTGGATGCAGTGGCGCGATCTTCGGCTCACTGCAACTCCGCCCTCCCGGGTTCCACATTCTCCTGCCTCAGCTCCCGAGATAGCTGGGACTACAGGCAACCGCCAACCACTTCCTGGCTAATTTTTTGTATGTTTTAGTAGAGACGGGGTTTCACCGGTGTTAAGCCAGGATGGTCTATGATCTTCCTGAACCTGTGATCCCGCGTGCCCGTCTTGGCCCTCCAATAGTGCTGGATTACAGGCGGAGCCACCACACCCAGCCACTTTTTTTTTTTTTTTGAGACAGAATCCTGCTCTGTCACCCAGCGCTGGAGTGAATGGAGTGATTCAGTCACTGGCATGCCTCCAACCTCCTTGGGTTCCAGCGATCCCCATGCCTCAAGCACTCCCGAGTAGCTGGGACGGAACAGGAACCCGCCACCACGCTGGGCTAATTTTTTGTATTTTTTAATAGAACAACGTTTCACCATGTTGGCCAGGCTGGTCTGGAACTCCTGACCTCAGGTAATCTGCCTGCTTTGGCCTCCCAAAGTACTGGGATGACAGGCGTGAGCCACGTGCCCGGCCTGGACCACGTTCCTAATCGACTTTTTGGCCAGTAGAGTCTCTTGAGACTTCCAGAAGAGAAACACAAATCTCACAATGGCCGATCTGCGGAATCTGAATGTTTCTTCACAATGGATAGGGGCCTTCTGCTTTTCCCAGGAGAGATGAAAACACTGCATGATGGTGCAGATCAGAGCGTGTGCGGTCCCAGGGGACGTGTCCATCCTTATGTAGAGCTGCCGATTTCTGGTCCTTCAGGAGAATCTGGAGAAACAGGCTGAGGTGGTTGACAGAGCCCTCCCGAACACAAGCACCATTCGGCACATGTGCCTGCCCTCCCTAGATGTGCACAGAGCCCCTGCTACGTGCCACATGCCACAACCCCAGGAGACAGCTGGGCAACTGCAGCTGGTCCTGCATCCCCGGGCGTCAGGGCCAGGGAGGAGACGGCCTGTGAGCAGACATGCAGTGTATCCCGGGTGGTGGAGGAAGAAGAAGAAAGCAGGACCAGGGGACGGAGGGTGATCAGCATCAGGCCACAGGGGCTCCAGGAGGGTTCGTCCCCAGGCTGTCACTGAGCAGTCACCTGCAGGCAGCGGGGAGGGGAGCCATAGACGGGGGGGATGGGGTCGGTGGGGTGTGGCTGTGGCAGGACCTTGGGAGGGCTTTGAGCAGGACATGGCATGGTTAGGGCTGTACCTTGAGAGGACCCCTCTCTGGCTGCCAGGAGGACAAAGATGCTGGCGAGGAAGGAGGAGGGTGAGGGGCTGGGGTGGTCTTCAGCAAGGGCTGTACAGCTGAGGCCAGCCCTGCTCTACTCTGCCCCAGCTCCTGCATGGAAACTTCCACCTTCCTCTCTTTGGCTCATCCATCGGTGCTCAGTGCAGCCTAGGTAGCACTCACTGTAGTTCTGTTTTTTTCACGGCCACCTATGGGAGTGTGGGGACAGGAGTACTGCCACTGTCATAGTGTCCGTCAGGTGTCTGTAGTCACAGTGTTCATCGAATGTCAGTAGTCACGGTGTTCATCTAATGTATTGTCATGATCATTGAGTGTCCATAGTCATGGTGTTCATCAAGTGTCACAGTCACAGTGTTCATCGAGTGTCCGTAGTCACTGTGTTCATCGAGTGTCACAGTCATGGTGTTCACTGAGTGTCACAGTCATGGTGTTCATCGACTGTAACAGTTAACGGTGTCCATCGAGTGTCACAGTCATGGTGTCCATTGCATATCACAGTCATGGTGTTCATTATCACAGTCACAGTGTTCATCGAGTGTCCGTAGTCATCGTGTTCAAGTGTCACAGTCATGGTGTTCATCATGTGTCACAGTCATGGTGTTCATCGTGTGTCACAGTCATGGTGTTCATCAAGTGTCACAGTCATGGTGTTTGAGTATCTGTAGTCACCGTGTTCATCGAGTGTCACAGTCATGGTGTCCATTGCATATCACAGTCATGGTGTTCATCGAGTATCACAGTCACAGTGTTCATCGAGTGTTCACACAGTTAACGGTGTGAACTGTAACACTTAACGGTGTCCATCGAGTGTCACAGTCATAGTGTCCATTGCATATCACAGTCATGGTGTTCATCGAGTATCACAGTCACAGTGTTCATCGAGTGTTCACACAGTTCATCGTGTAGTCATCGTGTTCGAGTGTCACAGTCATGGTGTTCATCTTGTGTCACAGTCATGGTGTTCATCACGTGTCACAGTCACATTCATTGTGTGTCACAGTCATGGTGTCCATTGAGTGTCACAGTCATAGTGTTCATCAAGTGTCATAGTCATGTTCATTGTGTGTCACAGTTATGGTGTTCACCAGGTGTCTGTAGTCATAGCGTTCAAATGTCACAGTCCTGGTGTTCATCAAGTGTCACAGTCACGGTGTTCATGAGTGTCCATAGTAATGGTGTTTGAGTGTCACAGTCAAGGTGTCCATTGAGTGTCCCATAGTCATGGAGTTCATCAAGTTCCACAGTCACAGTGTTCACCAAATGTCACAGTCACAGTGTTTATTGAGTGTCACAGTCACAGTGTTCATCGAGTGTCACGGTCATGGTGTTCATCGGGTGTCATGGTCATGGTGTCCATCAGGTGTCCACAGTCATGGTGTTCATGAGTGTCCAGCATGGGGCTCAGGACAAGTGTGTGAAAATGCTAGAGGAATGAATGCTTGAACCCGGGAGGCAAAGGTTGCAGTGAGTCTAAATTGTGCCACTATACTCCAACCTGGGTGACAGAGTGAGACTCTGTCTCAAAAAATAAAAAAAACTGTAACTTTCATGAGGTTGTCCTGTGCTGCGGGGAATGTCTCCTTGTCCCCAGGCCTGATGCTGCGGATGAGTGTCCACAGTCATGGTGGCATGGAGGCTGGCAGGAGTCTACGGCAGGGCCCGGTTGGGGGCTGGGTGGTGTGGAGCCTCTTTGCCCTCTAATTCATTTTCTCCAAAATGACCCTCACACCTTGCTCCTTCCCCTGTGGGGTTGGAGGTTCACTTTTTAATACACATCCATAGTGGTATTGGGCTAAAATCTTTACTGATACTTTTCCCTGGCAAATGGGCTTTTAGACTCCGGAACTGTCTACTGGGTGGCTGATATTTAGCCAAGCAAGGGGCACTGGGGTCAGAAAGATCTGGCTCTGAACCCGCCCCTGCACTTGACGTGAGCCCCTGATCTTCCTTGGAGGTTTTCTCGTCTAGATCGTGGGGAGCGATGGTGCCGCACCTCCTCTGAAGCGTGAATGAGGCCATGTGGACAAAGGCCTCGGCACTGTGCAAACCCTACAAACACTCATTCTTTTTAGCGAAGACTTTTTAGTTTAGTGCTAATTATTTTAATAATCAGGTGGACTGACTTCTTCTGTTAAAAAATATATATATAGTCAGAGCCTGGGCAACATAGTGAGACCCCCACCTCTACCAACACTTTTTTAAAGAATTAGCTGGGCATGGTTGCACACTTGTGTTCCCAGCTACTCAGAGGCTGAGGCAGGGTTGCTTGAGCTTGGGAAGTTGAGGCTGCAGTGGGCTGTGATTGCAGCACTGAACTTCAGCCTGGGTGACAGAGCAAGACCTTGTCTCAAAAAAAAAATTTTTTTTTAAGAGAAAATACAGTTTACCCTCCGCATTCATGGGCACTGCATCCATGGATTCAACCAGCCAAGGATGGAAAATATTTGGAAAAATAATGCATCTGTACTGAACTTGTATGGGGTTTTTCCTTCTCATTGTTCCCTAAACAATGCAGTGTAACAGCCATTAGCATAGTGCTTACGTTGTATTAGGGATTATAAGTAATCCAGAGATGATCTACAGTATACGGGATGGTATGTTTAGGTTATATGCAAACACTGTATCATTTTATGTCAGGGACTCAAGCATCCATGGATTTTGGCATCTGAGGGGGTCCTGAAACTCAACCCTTGCAGATACCGAGGGACAGCTGTACTGTGTTTTGTTTGGTATGTTTTGAGACAGAGTCTTACTCTGTTGCTCAGGCTGGAGTGCAGTAGGAAGATCATAGCTTACTGCAGCCTCTACTTCCTGGGCTCAAACCATCCTCCCACCTCAGCCTCCTGACTAGCTGGCACTACAGGCTTGTAGCGTCACACTCGCTAATTTTTATTTTATTTTATTTTTATTTTAGAAGAGACAACGTCTCGCTATGTTGTCCAGGCTGGTCTCAAACTCCTGAGCTCAAGCGGTCCTCCCACCTCAGCCTCCCAAAGTACTGGGATTACAGGCGTGAGCCACCACACCCGGCCAGACACTATACTGTTAAAGTTCAATTTTCTGGCTGGGTGCAGTGGCTCACTCCTGTAATCTCAGCATTTTGGAATGCTGAGGCGGGCAGATCACAAGCTCAGGAGATTGAGACCATCCTGGTTAACATGGTGAAACCCTGTCTCTACTAAAAATATATTAAAAAAAAATTAGCTGAGTGTGGTGGTGGGTACCTGTAGCCCCAGCTACTCAGGAGGCTGAGGCAGGAGAATCGCTTGAACCCAGAAGGCGGAGCTTGCAGTGAACCAAGATCACGCCACTGCACTCCAGCCTGGGTGACAGAGCAAGACTCTGTCTCCAAAAAAAAAAAGTTCAGTTTTCTTTGAAGAATCTTGACATGGAGAAAAAGCCCTGCCACATAAGTAGATCATCTACAAAGCGGAACTCAGATGGGTTTGAGGCCCACCTCTGCCACTGACAGTGCCTCGGTTTCTTCATCTGTAAATTGGGTGCAGTGATAGTCCCAGCATTACAGCGTTGTTGTGAGATGGTGTTAATTTGTGGAAAGTGCTTCCAGCTGTGCCTGGGCTCCTAGGAGGGTCTCCACCAAGCAGGGCAGCTCAGGTCCGGTAGGGTTAGAACTCGCTCTAACCCCGTGGGGCTTGTGTGTGTGTTTGTGGTTCTAGCGCCCAGACTCCAACTCTTCCCGTGCTCACCACGGGGGCCAGCTATACTGCACAGCCCACTCCTGGGATGGACCCCGCCGCAAACCCGGCCTTTCCCCCAGCTGCCCCAGCAGGGTACGGTGGATACCAGCCCCACTCCAGCCAGGAGTTCACCTACGGCAGCCGACCCCAGGAGCCCGTCCCCACGACCACCACCATGGCTACCTACCAGGTATCCAGTCCTTTCTTTGACCAGCATTGCCGGGAAACGTGGATCGCCCTGTGTGGGTGAGAGCGGTGGGCTCCCCGCAGCTACTCCTTCTCCCAGGCCTCTTAACCGTGATCCTTCCTTCGGGACCCTTCTGCTGGCATTATGTACCTGCGGTGGGGAGAAATCAGGGCAGAGTCGCTTCCAAAAGAATCCACTGCTCTTGGGGACAGGCCGCATGCATACCTCCACATCGGGGCAGTGGGGACAGTGACAGCACAGAGCTTTGTCCCAGCCTCAGCAGTGACTATGAAGGAGGACGAGGGTCACCTGGGTTGGAGGACCCCTCCCTGGCCAGGACAGATGGCCTCAGTCTCCTGGCCCCAGAGAGACCAGGACTCACCCCCTCTTTCCCCACTGCTCCACAGGGTTCCAATCCTGCCTTTCTAAGAAGGTGTCTGTGGCATGTGGTGGCACAGCTGAGTGGTGACCAATCCGCACCTTCCCAACCGAGGCACTCAGGGCTGCAGACCCAGCCACTGTGTTCCCACTTGTTGTCGCAAACATGTCTCCCCCATGACCATGCTCCAACTCCCCAGCCCTGCCGCCTGCACCCTCGTCCCCAGGTTCGTGTCGGTCAACGGCATCAGAGGCCACCTGTCACCCGAGCTCCAGACCCCACCTTGACCCCACCTCTTCCTCCCTCCTCCGTTTCCTTGCTAAGGCTCGGGGGCTTTCTCCCTGCCAAACCCACCCTCTCCTGCCACACCCAGGGTCGTCTCTTGTACATACGCAGTCACTCTTGGAAATCAGTGTCACGCTCCATGAGAGGCTGCGCCTGTGTCAGCCACATCCCCCTGCCCCTGCCCCTGCCCCGGGCCAGGGCCTGGTCTTGGGCAGATGCTTAGGAGCCAGCGCTGCGGGAAGACTAAATGCAGAGTGCAGTTGTGGCCAGGGCACGTGCACCTGCCACCTGAGCTGCTCTCCTGGCGGAAACCCCACATAGGACCAGGATTACAGCTACGGACAGTCGGTGGCTGCCAGGAGCTACGAGGACAGGCGTACTTCCAGCCTCCTGCCTCCAGCCTGGGCGCATGACACCACAGACTCCTGCCAGCCAGGTGAGCCACTCTGCAGGTCGGGGCTGCGGACGAGGAGACATTCCCTGCAGCATGGGAAAACCTTGGGAAAGTTACATCTTTTTTTTTTTTTTTTTTTTTGAGACAGAGTCTTGCTCTGTTGCCCAGGCTGGAGTGCAGTGGCGCAATCTCGGCTCACTGCAATCTCCGCCTATCGGGTTCATGTCATTCTCCTGCCTCAATCTCCCAAGTAGCTGGACTACAGGTGCCCCCAACCATGCCTGGCTAATTTTTTGTATTTTTAGTAGAGACCGGGGTTTCACAGTATTAGCCAGGGATAGTCTCGATCTCCTGACCTCGTGATCCGCCCGCCTCGGCCTCCCAAAGTGCTGGGATTACAGGTGTGAGCCACTGCACTGGTGAAAGTTACATCTCAACCATCCTAGAGGTGGCGCAAGGTAGTTCATGCCTGTAATCCTAACACTTTAGGAGGCCCAAACAAGGTGCGAGAATTGCTTGAGCCTAGGAGTTCGAGACCAGCCTGGGCAACATAGTAAGACCCTGTCTCTACAAAAAATGCAAAAAAGTTAGCTAGGCATGGTGGTGTGCACATACAGTCCCAGCTACCCAGGAGGCTGAGATAGGAGGTTCGCCTGAGCCCAGGAACTAAGCTGCAGTGAGCTGTGATTGCACCACTGCACTCCAGCCTGGACAGCAGAGCGAGACCCTGTCTCTAAAAAAAAACAAAAAAACAAAATAAAGGCTAGTGGCTCACACCTGTAATCCCAGCACTTTGGGAGGCTGAGGTGGGCGGATCACAAGGTCAAGTGATCAAGACCATCCTGGCCAACATGGTGAAACCCCCGTCTCTACTAAAAATAGAAAAATTAGCCGGGCGTGGTGGCGCATGCTTGTAATCCCAGCTATTCGGGAGGCTGAGGCAGGAGAATTACTTGAACCTGGGAAGCAGAGGTTGCAGTAAGCCAAGATCGCGCCACTGCACTCCAGCCTGGGCGACAGCGAGACTCTGTCTCAATAATAATAATAATAATAATAATAATAATAATAATAAAAACATCCTAGATTTGCAGGTGAGCCTCAGGGCTGGCTGCTCACATGGGCCCTGGGATCTCTGCCAGGTGTGGGCCTATGAATGAGGGAAAGTGAGAACCTAAAATGCAGCTAACATTTTTTCCAAGGAAGCTTTCCCCGGGTGGCAGGAGGTGAGCTCTGTGGGTGAAGGAGCCGGAGACGTGGAGGAGCCCTCCTCCCCCACGGCAGGAGGGAGAAGCTGGGCTCTAGAAAGGAGAGGTGGGAACAAGGTCACCTGTGAGTCCCTGCCCGGACCTGGCCCTAGGCTCTGACCTCTGGTCCCGGCTTAAGCATCTAGCGTTTCCAGCCAGTTGAGCCCGGGGTCCATCCGCAGGTGAGGGGCAGTGGGGTGGGGGCTGGCTCTGCAGAGGGCCTGTGCCTGTCCCCTAGGGACCCAAGAGGCCTGCAGGCAGCCCAGCCCTCATGGCGGTCACAGCTGCGCTCAGCCCCCACAACAGGCGCCCAGAGTGGAGGCCGGACAGCCAGCCAGCGCCCTGTCCTCGGGATACACCTACTCCACGGCGACAGGCGTCCAGCCCGAGTCCTCCGTGTCCATCGTGACCTCCTACCCCGCGCCCTCCTACGATCCCACCTGCACCGCCTACACGGGTAAGACCAGCGTTCCTTGCCCAGGCGGTCGGTCCGTCGGCCTCCGTTTCAACTCGAGTGGAATCAGCATCTCCCCCCCGACTCACTGTTTTCTCTGCTCCTTAGCACCAAGCTACCCGAGCTATGACGCCTCAGTGTACTCCGCCGCCAGCCCTTTCTATCCTCCAGCGCAGCCCCCGCCTCCCCCGGGACCCCTGCAGCAGCTGCCCCCGCTGCCCACGCCCGCAGGCTCAGGAAGCAGCCCCAGGGCCGACTCGAAGCCGCGGCTTCCCAGCAAACTGCCCAGACCCAAGGCCGGGCCCAGGCAGCTCCAGCTTCACTACTGCGACATCTGCAAGATCAGCTGCGCGGGCCCCCAGGTCAGTCGCCCTCCCGCCGTGGGCGGGACCTCTCTGTTCCTAAGGTCTGAACCCGAATGTGGGCGCCGGGGGGTCAGGGTCGCTGCCTGCTGAAAAAAGGTCCAGTGTTAAACTTGCATGGTGTATGCATGTGCCTGTGTGTGCAAGCGCTTGTGTGTGTGTGCGTGTGTGAGTGCAAGGGTGCGTATGTGTGCGTGTGTGAGTGCAAGGGTGCTTATGTGTGCGTGTGTGCAAGTGTGTGTGTGTTTATGCTTGTGTATATGTGTGCATATGTGTGTGCAAACGGGAGTGTGCGCGTATGTGTGCGTGCATGTGTGCGCGTGTGTGCCTGCATGTGTATGTGTGTGCCTGTGCCTGTGTGTGGGTGCACGTGTGCTTGTGTGTGGCAGTGCTTGTCTGGGACACGCGTGAAAGACTCTTTACCAAACACACGCGCTTGAGGTTTTAAAGCTTGCAGATCACCCCGCAGAGATCGTGGGCTCGTTTCCTGGAAAGGTAATCAGACCCTAGAGCTCTATCTTTGCAAAACACGCACCCTGATCTTTTGTTTTGAATGCTCTGAAAGCAAGCTCTGGACCGCGAGAGACCGCGGAGTCTCTGGAGAGGTGTGAGATGGCTCAGGACACCCTATCAGGACCCCCAACCCAGCTGGGGATGGGGGGCCGGGCCCTGCTCGGGACCCCTCCCGCCACAGATCACCCTTTCCCTGTCTCAGGCGCTTTGTCCCTGCAGCTCTCCACTGCATCTCATGCTAGGAGAGACCCTGGCCTTCTTTGCAGAGTGCTGGGATACAAGTTTGAGGTGTTTGTTTTTGTGTGTGTGTGTGGTTTTTTTTTTTTTTTTGGAGACAGGGGGTCTCGCTCTGTTGCTGAGGCTAGAGTGCAGTGGTGCAATCAGAGCTCACTACAGCCTCCACCTCCTGAGTTCAGGTCCTCCTCTCAGCCTTCCAAGTAGCTGAGACAGGTATGAACCACCATGCCCAGCTAATTATTTTTATTTTCAGTAGAGATGGGGTCTCACTATGTTGCCCAGGCTGGTCTCGAACTCCTAACCTCAAGGAATCCTCCTGCCTCAGCCTCGCATAGTGCCAGGATGACAAGCTGAGTCCCTGCACCAGACCCATGTGGGTTATTTAATCCTTATATCTGCCTTGTGGCTACCATCTCTGTGTAGCAGACAAAATCCCAGAGGTTCAGAAAGGGTCAGTACTTTGAGGAACTCAGAGTCAGTTTTAGTGACCCAGGCAGAAATCAAACCAAGATGTGTTGAAGCCCATGTGGCTAGTTATTCCAGAATACGCCAAAAGTGCGCACAGACAGCCTATTGGCCGGATGCGGTGGCTCATGCCTGTAATCCCAGCACTTTGCAAGGCTGAGGCAGGAGGATTGCCTGAGATCAGGAGTTCGACACCAGCCTGGCCAACATGGTGAAAACCCGTCTCGACTAAAATACAAAAATTAGCCGGGCACGGTGGCAGGTGCCTGTAGTCCCAGCTACTTGGGAGGCTGAGGCAGGAGAATGGCGTGAACCTGGGAGGCGGAGGTTGCAGTGAGCTGAGATTGCCCCACTGCATTCCAACCTGGGTGACAGTGAGATTCCATCTAAAAAAAAAAGATTCCTAAGTTCTAGAGAGCATACATACAGTAAAATGTGTGCCTCTCCCACATCCTATTTTTCTTCCCTAAAACCAGACGATGTCACTGAGTTCCTAAGTGCTAAGCCGGTGGCCTGCAGGGGAGGGGGCAGTGTCCAGTGTGCCCCAGTATTTTCAGGGGCACTTTTCAGTCTGCAGAACGTTCATTCTTGGCATTGTCAGGGCGTGTGGATTTCGTGGCCCACCTGCCACGTCTTGTCTGTGGTGGGCTTCGTTTCCGGATTTTAAGCAGCACACCCAGGATTCCGCCTGAGGGCTTGGCTGTCGCTTCCCCAGATGCAATCAGATATTTTGGGCCCAGGAGTACCGGATGCGTAGGCCTGTGACTCACGGTAGCTTCCCCTGGGTGGAGCCCCTGTGTCTATTAGCAGTTTCCTAAGACGGACGTGTACATGACTGTCCTTCGGGCAGCAGGTGCCCTTGCTTGGTTTCCGAGGTTGAATTCTGAAAAGTCAGAATTTTCTGTATACAGCAGCCCCTGAAAGGAACGCGTGATGCGTGGAGCATGCTTTCCTAAGAAACTCCTTGAGTTTCAGAAGAAGGGAGAAGCCTTATGTCTAGCAGTCTGAGCCTGTGGGTTTGTTACGTGGGCTTCATAAAGGGACGCTTGAATTAGCCAGGCGTGGTGGCGGGCACCTGTAGTCCCAGCTACTTGGGAGGCTGAGGCAGGGGAACCGCTTGAACCCAGGAGGTAGAGGTTGCACTGAGCTGAGATAGCGCCACTGCACTCCAGCCTGGGTGACAGGGCATAACCCTGTCTCAAAAAAAAAAAATTCGAGAAGTCTATAGTAAGAAGATAGGCTGGGCGTGGTGGTGTGCTCCTGTCATCCCAGCACTTTGGGGGGCCAAAGCAGGTGGATACTTGAGGTCAGGAGTTCAAGACCAGCTTGGCCAACATAGTGAAACCCCGTCTCTACTAAAAATACAAAAATTATTGGGGCATGGTGGCACGTGCCTGTAGTCTCACCTACTTGGGAGGCTGAGGACGGAGAATCACTTGAACCCAGGAGGCGGAGGTTGCAGTGAGCTGAGATTGCGCCACTGCACACCAGCCTGGGCAACAGAGCGAGACTGTCTCAAAAAATAAAAAATAAAAATAAGAAGAATAAAGGGACACTTGAACCTCCGTGGCACCAGGGGATGGAGGGCTGGGGACAGTGGGCGTCTGTTACCACCGAGTTCCTGTGTGCTAAGCTGGGGGCCTGCAGGGGAGGGGGCGTGGCCACTGTGCAAACCCCCACTCACGCTGCCTCTCACCCCTTGCTGCAGACCTACCGGGAACATCTGGGAGGGCAGAAGCACAGAAAGAAGGAGGCGGCCCAGAAGACAGGCGTGCAGCCCAACGGGAGCCCACGCGGGGTGCAGGCGCAGCTACATTGTGACCTGTGCGCCGTGTCCTGCACTGGGGCAGACGCCTACACGGCCCACATCCGGGGAGCCAAGCACCAGAAGGTACGGCCCCACCCATCCCAGGCTCTGCCACCCCTGGGGAGGAGGCCCCCAGGTCAGCACTTAGGACCCACAGAGATGCCTGCTGAGATCAGAGGGAGCCCGGAGAAGCTTCCCCAAGTGGAGTGCGCCCGAGGGCCGGCTGCCCAGGCCCATGCGTCCTCATCTTCAAGGATCCAAACTCCTTTCCAGTCATTTTATCTTATTTTTCATTTTATGTGACTTTTTCATTAGTTTAATGAGACAAAATCTCACTCTGTTCCCCAGGCCTGGAGTGCAGTGGTGTGACCTCGGCTCACTGCAAACTCTGTTCCTGGGTTCAAGCCAATTCTCATGCCTCAGCCCCTCGAGTAGCTGGATTACAGGCACCCACCGCCGCACCCAGCTAATTTTTGTATTTTTAGTAGAGACGGGGTTTCACCGTTGTTGGCCCAGGCCTGGGTCCGACTCTTGAGCTCAAGATCCGTCTGCCTCAGGCCCCCCTAAGTGCTGGGATTCAGGCCATGAGCCACTGCACTGGACTCCTGTTCAGACTTAGAAACGAGGGTTCCTCCTCAATTGCACAAAACATGAGTGGCCGAGACACTCACACCCAGACTTCCAAGAAGAGCTTGGCATTCAGGCGCGGCGAACGAGCAGGGCTGGCCTGTAGGAGATCCAACGCTGGTTTCCCTTTGGGGTCTTGCTCTTCACACTCCGCTGCTGTAATAATCACCGTCCCTGTGGCCTTAAAACCTGGGTTAGGCCGGCCACGTGCTGCATGCCTCGTAATCCCGGGCAGTCACTGTTGGGAGGCCCGAGGCGAGTGGGTCACGTGAGGTCGGGAGTCTGAGACCAGCCTGGCCAACATGGTGAAACCCTGTCTCTACTAAAAAATACAAAAATTAGCTGGGCGTGGGGGTGCACGCCTGTAACCTCAGCTATTCAGGAGGCTGAGGCAGGAGAATTGCTTGAACCCGGTAGGTGGAGGTTGCAGTGAGCTGAGATCTCACCACTGCACTCCAGCCTGTGTGACAGAGCAAGGCTCGGTCTCAAAAAAAAAAAGAAAAAAGGCCTGGGTTATGTCAAATTCGGCCGGGAGGGGACGGAGTCCCCACCTGAGGGCAGGGAGGGGAACAGCTGGCTTGTGCTGTAGCCCGGGCTGCCAGGTTGAGCCACCCTGGGAGGCCTGGCCGAGGGCCTGGCTTCTTTCCCTCAGCTGCCTGAAGGCTCATCCAGGGCCTCATTCCCTGGCTCGGCTCAGGACAGCTTGCTGAGGGCCTGTGTGAACCCACAGGGGAAAGAGGAATGTGCAGGGAGGCATGGAGGAGGGAAGGAGCGGGGCAGAGAAACGAGGGAAGGAGACTCACTGGCCTGGGGACCGGAGAGCTAGGGGCCGGTGGGGCAGAGCTGCAGGCATCACCCCCACAGTCTGGGGCTTGGTCTGGGGGTTAGGCAGGCCCTGCCACCCATTGTGGGGTCGGGGGTTACAGGGCAGGTCTTGTGTAGCGCGTGTCAGAGACTTGGAGCTGGCAAATGTGTCTGAGATGGTCCCCAGCACACACCGCGGCCCTGTGCACACGACACCTTTGCCAGAAGCGCCTTGCATCCGGAGGGGCTGAGAATAGGGCACGGCCAGAATACGGACGTGACCACGTGCACACGCGCGTGCAGAACGTGGGTGTCCGTCCAGGGACGCATGCACACCCACCATCCGTCCACACACGCTGAGTCCCGGGCAGTCGGGGGCACTAGGATGGGGCTTGGGAGGTTGAGAGGCCCCATCTGGCAGCCCACGTGGTGGAAGAGGTGGAAGAGCGTCCATGTGAGCCGGTGAGCCACGTGCTCACACGTCAGAGGAGTGTCACCGCGCTAGAGGACTCACAAGCACGTGTGCAAGGCAGGAGGCCACCTGGGAAGGGCCTTCTGGAGTGGGTGATTTCCAGAGCGCAGGAGGAGAGAAGAGGCGGGGTCCCCGGGACCAGCCTGCCCGCACTCCCGCTGCCCGCCCGCACTCCCGCTGCCCGCCCGTGGAGGCCCTTCCTGCCTCTTGAAAAGGCCATCAGGCTGGGATCGGCCCTCACACAGGAGCCCGGCTCTGTCTGTTGCAGGTCTTCAAGCTGCACACCAAACTGGGGAAGCCCATTCCCACCCTGGAGCCTGCACCGGCCGCAGAGAGCACCCCCGGGGTGGAGGTCAAGCCCGCATCTGCCACTGGCCCCAGCGTGTGTGCCCCGAGCAGGCCAGCACTGACCAAGAGACCCGTGGCCTTGAAGGCCTCATGCCAGGGTATGTGTGTCTGCGTGCGTGTTCGCGTACCCACGGGAGCCCTGGCCACCCTGCCCAGTGAACATTTCGTGAGAAAATCGACCATCCTGGTTTTCGTCACGCTCCTCCGGGGGGGTGGTGTGGGGTTGTTTGAGATGAGGCCCTCGCTCTGTCATCCAGGCTGTAGTCAGCAGTGTACGCATCTCAAGCTCGCTGCACCTCTGCCCCCGATTCAAGCATTCTC